TATCTATCTATCTATCTATCTATCTATCTATCTATCATCTATCTATCTATCTATCATCTATCTATCTATCATCTATCTATCTATCTATCTATCTATCTATCTATCTATCTATCTATCTACCATCATCTATCTATCTATCTATCTATCTATCTATCTATCTATCTATCTATCTATCTATCTATCTATCTATCTATCATCTATCTATCTATCTATCTATCTATCTATCATAATATAGTAGACTATTAATACTGCATATTATGTAGCTAGTATGTAGTATTATATATGTCAGGGTCTTCAAACCTGACAGCTTTAAGACTTGTGGACCAACTCCCAAAATTCCTCCAGTCCTGTTAGCTCAGGAATTCTGGGAATTGAATTCCACAAGTCTTAAACGTGCCAAGTTTGAAGACCCTTGATATATGTATATCTACAGTATGTATACTATACTATATACTACTACATGCCAGCTGTATAATATAGTTATATTAGTGTGGTATACTACATGGAATAGTTATAGTAGTATATGGATCATCTTTTCTTTTATGAACACAGAGTATTTGCACCAAAACAAATTCCTTGTGTGTCCAATCACACTTGGCCAATAAAGAATTCTATTCTATTCTATATGGATTATATTAGTAGATTAATACCTTGGCAAGAGAACAATTTGGCGATTCAAAGGTCCGAAAGGACTGTACTTGCTTGGCAGCGCCTAAACCCTTCCTCCCGCCCCCCGACAGCCTTTTCTGTTCTTTTTCTGATACAAATAAACACCAAGATTGTTTAGCTTTGTTGTTAGTCTAAAATCTGACGTCCGTGTGAAACTGCACCGTGTCAACATGCTCCGTTTAATAGCCCTTCATTTCCAGGTCGGGCAGAAAGCAGCCCTATTCACTTCCTCTTGACTGCATAAAACAAGCACCAGCCAAGGGGAACGTTTCAACGAAATTATTTTTCTCACGAGCATTTTTTTTGCACCCTAAAAAAAACTGTGATTTCTTTAACTGACCTAGAAATTAAGCTCTTAACATAGTGGAAATGGAGTCTTGATTTATTCTAAGTCATTGGGCAATTAATTCAAAGGGTTTTAATTGTTGCACATTTATCCTTTATTATGCCGGAAAAATGAACGCTATTAAGAACAAGGAAGTCGCGTTTACGTAAATCACCTCCAATCCCCGCAGCGCGTGGCAGATTTAAACTCAGCACGTGAATGGCTGAAAACGACAGCCAATCAAAACCAAGGAAGAGTGTATAAATAGCACGCCGGTGGCGGTTTCTTTTCAATTCTTCTCTTCGCGCCGTGTGAGTTTCTGATCTTCCTTCAGCGTTTCACGTCGAGATGGCTCGTACTAAGCAGACCGCTCGCAAGTCCACCGGCGGGAAAGCGCCTCGCAAGCAGCTGGCCACCAAGGCGGCGCGGAAGAGCGCTCCAGCCACCGGCGGCGTGAAGAAGCCTCACCGCTACCGCCCCGGCACCGTCGCCCTGAGGGAGATCCGCCGCTACCAGAAGTCGACGGAGCTGCTGATCCGCAAACTGCCCTTCCAGCGGCTGGTGCGCGAGATCGCGCAGGACTTCAAGACCGACCTGCGCTTCCAGAGCTCGGCCGTCATGGCTCTGCAAGAGGCGAGCGAGGCTTACCTGGTGGGGCTCTTCGAGGACACCAACCTGTGCGCCATCCATGCCAAGCGCGTCACCATCATGCCCAAGGACATCCAGCTGGCCCGCCGCATCCGTGGAGAGCGGGCGTAAAGAAAGCAGTTTTTTTTTTTAAAAAAAAAGGCTCTTTTAAGAGCCATCAAATAATCCAAAAAAGTGCTGGAACCAATCGTACACGATAGATAATAGATGTTTATTAGTGCTTAAAAGGAGTAACTTGTTTTAACACCCTCCACCCCAAAATCTCGCATATAAAATTACTTTCTAAGCCAAAGGTTTCTTTGAAAGACTTACACAACTCCCAGAATTCTTGTCTGGGAGTTTAAATGCAGAAATAGCCGAAAGGTTGGATATCCCTGTTTTAAGCAACACTCCCAAGGATAGATTGTATAGCGCTTGCAACTCTTTTAGAAGGAAGTGAGCGGCTCTTAAAAGAGCCTTTGGGGTTGCGGGTAGTCTTCCCTGCGGTCCACTCGAGAGCTAGCCTACTTGGAGCTGGTGTACTTGGTGACGGCTTTGGTCCCCTCGGAGACAGCGTGCTTGGCCAGCTCGCCGGGCAGCAGGAGGCGGACGGCCGTCTGGATCTCGCGGGAGGTGATGGTGGAGCGCTTGTTGTAGTGGGCCAGGCGGGAAGCCTCGGCCGCGATGCGCTCGAAGATGTCGTTGACGAAAGAGTTCATGATGCTCATGGCCTTGGAGGAGATGCCGGTGTCGGGGTGGACCTGCTTCAGCACCTTGTAGACGTAGATGGAGTAGCTCTCCTTGCGGGTCTTCCTGCGCTTCTTGTCACCCTTCTTCTGCGTCTTGGTGATGGCCTTCTTCGACCCCTTCTTGGGCACGGGCGCTGATTTCGCGGGCTCAGGCATCTTCGCTCTTTCTCTTACTCCGAGAAACAGTAAACTGGCGAACTTCGTTATTCCGCTCCCTTTTATAAGCAGCCGTATGCTGATGAGGCGCTCCAATCGTCAAGCTGCTGTTGGTTCTTATAATTTGGGCGGGAAAGTTGGAACGCCAATCAGAAAGCGTTCGTTCGCTATTGGATAAAGGAAAGATGGCTTGGTTTGGTTCGAACGCGCGCCGGAGTTGTTTTCTGATTGGTTCAGTGAGGCTTCTCTCTCATTGGTCTATTTTGAAGCCGAATTGCTATGAATGTGAAGGGAATTGTTGTGGCTTTAAAAGCAAATAAAATCAATAAATTGGATTAGCTGATATAAGGAAAATTGATATAAGGAAAATTGATATAAGGAAAATTGGGTACCATATTAATAGTTTCAGAGAATTTTTGACCGGTTTCTAACCGGCTGCCTTGCCTCAGCAGCGTCTACGGAGTCCGATGGGTTGGGTGTAGCCCTCCGAGGAAGCTACAATGCAAAACTAGATGAAGGAGAAACCAGAAGAAGTTTCCTGCGGTGACAAGATTATTAGCAAATAATTATTTAATTGAATTGTCCTTAAAACGGATGACCAATTCTCTTCCAGGTTGCACCTACTGGCAAAGCACTGCAGAAAGCAAACTCTGTCAAAACTTATAAAGGAGCAGAAAGAGGTTTCAATGTCCAATTCAGTTAAACTCCAACAAAATTTGTGTCAGAATTTCATGGTCTGGGTCCATTATTTGTCACAAGGAGAGACCACATACTGTACTTGATATAATTGTAAGATAAGAAAGCAATTCAACCCACGTTTTAGAGTTCATTTGGCATATTAGTATTTTGAAGAGGAAAATACTTGAACTACACTTCTCTTACACATCCACATTTTAAATGGTATTGGCTTTCATTTTCAGGAACATCGATGATGCTTTAATCCCACTGAAATCAGTTACACATTTTAGGGATTTCTTTCTGTTGATTTAGTTGAGACTACTGTGAGTCTTTTTGGATCTAGCTCCATTCAGATAGGTTTTAATTAAATTATGTTTTAATCGCTCAACAATCAACATATTCTTGAATCAAGACGACTCAGTTGAAATGCCTCCATAGGTTTGAGCCACAGAGTGTCTGGTTTTGGAGGCTGAAATGGTTCTGCTGGCCCACACTTCCACCTCAGAAGTTTCTTCATTTTCCATTCACGATATGAAAATAAAAATTGTCCTAGGGTCCATTTTCTACCAATGTGGTCCCGGGAATTGCTCACAAGGCATTTCAGAAGAAGATGGACACCAGATCTCTGGAGATCTCTGAGGTGAAAATCAACAACAGTGCATGTAAATGTTGTGGGCATTCGGTCAATGGATATTGAGGAACCTGGTAAGATATTTTGTTTTCTCCTTGGAGGGAAAAGTTGTAAACTTTTACTGGTGAGGAAGAACCCTTAAATGATATTTATAGGAGAGAAACCAGGAAGCTTGAGCTCTTCCCCAGAACAAAGTTGTTCAGCAGGTAAAATATATATTTCTTTTTCTTTTGATGAAACTGGTTCACTTTCCCCTTTACTAACAAGAGTAATTAAGAGGACACCTAATATCTGTAGCACAGTGTTTCTCAATCTGGTCACTTTAAGCTTTATGGATTTCAAATCCCAGAATTCCCCAGCCAGCTTAGCTGACATCTAGGAAGAAGGAAGGAAGGAAGGAAGGAAGGAAAGAAGGAAGGAAGGAAGGAAGGAAGGAAATGACTTTGGATTAGCAATTTCATAAAGACAGGGAGGATAGAGTATAAACCCTTGAACCTGTGTTCTTCAATCTCAGCACCTTTAAGATGTGTGGTCTTTCCACTCCTAGAATTCATAAGTCCTCACACCTTAAAGGTGCTGAGGTTGAGAAACACTGCCTTAAGCCTCAATGTTACACCCATTGCTGCTTGGTCAATAGGCCATGAAACCCTAAAAAAATCAGCGTCATTGGATTGAGATTTACAAGGCTTTCGCCAGTGCTGAGTCTGACATGATCCTGATGTCTTCCATAAACGTTCTTTGTCCAAAGAGAGAAAATTAGCCTTGCCATGTTCTGTCTCAAAGCTTATGGGGCAGATAGGTTCTCTTTGAGGTTCTGCAAAAAGAAGGCCAGTGGTCTGGATGTAAACTACAAGAAATAAAAACAAAAGTTTGAAGTCTCTATGTGGTCTCTGAAGTCAAAGGAAATGTTTCTTATTCTTGTGGAGGGAAATAACCAGTCATTTGGTTCTGTTCTTCAAGGGGTAAACAAGTTGTGGTCGAACGTTCTTTGTTTCTATAAATAGCTGCACACATAAAGGCAGACCACATCTAAAGCTTTGTTGTGTGAAAACTGGAACCTGGCTGTTTTCTAGAAACCCGAAGAGCGTGACAGAACAGGGGAAGTGGAAAGTTGGCATAATATCAGCCTTTAAAGCTCATTTCTTTGGCTTTTCAGAAAGAAACCTGAGCTAATCGTACTTTCTTTTTTACTAGCTTTGCTTCATGATAATGAAGCTGTCTGTGAAAATTTGTTTTTTTGAGGGGAGGGAGTTTAGTTAGATTTTACCTCAGGCCCTTCCAGACATTCAAATTATGAATCGTGAAAGTGTTCCCCAAAGTAAGAGAAGATCTGGTGGTTTCTTGGTAGGTTTCACTTGATTGATTTTAAGTACCTTCAAACTGAATCAGAGTTTGGCAAAATTAGCCCTATGGTTCAACCGCAGAAAAGCAAAAGGGAGTATTTTTTTTTTAAAAATTGTTGGTTGAAAGATATGGATGTGAACCCTAAGTTTATGTTAATGAATCATAGGAATATCCTGGAGGTCTTGCTAGTTGAATGGCATTATTCAAGGCTTGAGGCTGTGCCAACCATAGTTATGAAATTCAGCCGTGTTTCTCAATCTTGGCTACTTTGAGCCATGTTGATTCTACTCCCAGAATTCCCCAGCCAGCTATGAATTCTGGGAGTCAAAGTCTACATGAAGTGGCCAAGGTTGAGAAACACTAGTTTAAGAATTTACGCTCTCTTTTCCTGTGATCCAAGATCATTTCCTCCCTTCTTTCTTCCTAGACTTATCTTGAGGAAGACTCATCACCAACTGTACCCCAAAATTGTTTTTTCCTCCAAAAAAGAATAACTTAGTTTGAGTGTTTCTGTCAGGGTTCCAACCTATGCCCTAATTAAATCATGAGCCTCAAGCCAAGCTTCAAAAGAAAATCCAGTTATTTATTAGGAGCTTCATGTTGGCACGGACCAAGTGAAGCCAACTCTAACCTCAATTAATTCACGCTTTGGCTTTGACCCTGTTTTCTCCTCCCCCCCAAGGTGTGTCATCAGTCACATTCCCCAACGAAGCAATTTCGCGGGTTGTAGAAGTCACTCCCTCTGGCCACTGTGGGTCTCAGTAGAGATGACCTTGACGTTGCTGGCTGGAATGTGCTTTGTTTTGACTGAATAGCAAGTTGCTCGATGCAGCTGTGAAGCTCGATTCCCCATCCCCTTTGCCTATGGCAACTCGAGAGCAGGTCAGGGATGTTTCGCGAGTTGACAGTTTGTTTCACAGGGCATATATAGAATTTTGAGGACCCATCAAAGAGAATTGTGGCTCTTGTAGGGTATGTTACCTTAGAACAGGGGTGTCAAACTTGCCGCATCACATTGCTGTCATGTGACATTTCATGACTTTTTCCCATTTGTGGAGCTGGGATAGGCGTGGCCTGTGTGTGATACATCCGGTCCATGGGCCACCAGTTTGACATCCCTGCTTTAGCAAAACTGAGAAGCAAAGCTGAAGGAACATCTGAACTTAGTCTGTTCTCAGTGGAAGAGCCGTCACATTTAGAAGCATCTGAAAGCCCAGCTGAGGGAAATAACTGTTCTTCATTTCTGATTATCTTTCTGACCTACTTCCTTCTGGTTACTTTCTGTTCAGGGGATCAAAAAGTTAAGATGGTATCTATTATTGTGTTTTATTATCTAACCATTGATAGAAAAGGTCCCAAATTTTATAAAATTGTTTATCCTCTTGTTCTCTAATTTCATATGTCAATCTAGAAAATAATGAATATATAAAGATATATTTCTTTTTTTTTGATATATCTATAAAATGTTTTTAGGATAGATTTGGTATGATTATATGATTTGTTATAAAATAAACTAAGTAAATTATAGTTATCTTGCAAAGTATGAATGAATAAAATTATAGTCAAATGATTGTTTAATAGTGATACCAGGGTATTTAATTTCTGATTGAT